TGGCGACTTTGGCCTCTTACTCTGATGTACTTCGGTGTTGTTGGCGTGGGTATTGGAACGCAACTCTACGCTACCGTCATTATACAAGGAATCGACTCCTCCTTCTCGGGTATAACTCTTAGCTTGCTCACTGCACCCATTTGGATCGTGAGTAAAATGCACCAAAGTGATGATATAGGACTCGAAGCTGACAAATAATAGATGGATCTCATTGCAATTCTTATGGTCACTCCAATCTCCGATCGTTTCCACAAGTACCGAGCTTTCTTCTTCTCCGCCGCCGTACTCATTCAAATTGCCGGTCTCCTTACCACCACCTTTGCCCCTGTCTCTCACCCCTGGGCACGCTACGGTGGTCTCCTTATGGTCGGATATGGACTTGGTCCCACAGTCCCCATCTGCATGACATGGACCAATGAGATCTTTCAACATCGCCACGGAGAAGTAGGCGTTGCCGCCGCATCAGCTCTTGTGTCCGGTCTTGGCAATCTCGGCAGTATCACAACTACCTACGCACTCTATACCGGATGGCCCGAGGATGCCAAAGCAGGACCTCATCGCTACCGCAAGAGTAATCTCGTTATGATTGGCATTCTCTGTTTGAGTATCCTAAGCAGCGTCATTATGACCGTCCTCCTCAAGATTTTCGGCAATCCACGCAGTACCAAGATTCAAAGCAGCGGAAGCTCCGTCAGCGACGAATTCCAAGATGGTGCTGCCAGGCGTGAGCAGCAACAGCGTGGGTTTGCGAAGATGTGGGGGAGAAAATAGTTTCGCCCGCTCTGTTCTACTAGCATCCAATATCCCTTTTTTGGGATAGGAAGATGTCTTCAACAGTACAAGTTATGCTAGACTATTCTACCCCCGCATCGGTAGCTCAACCTTCCATCTCTACCACTCACACTCTACCTCGATCAACCTCGCCTCCACTTTTCACACTCTTACACCACCCCCTTCAGCGCATCAACGCATCAACGCACCTTCCATCTCTCTCCTTCCTTCCCACAAGGAGCATCTACTCTACCTAAACCACCGATTTCCAATTTCCTATTTGCGTTCCTAATCTTTCCATCTTTAAATCATCTCATCAGAATTTTGTCTTTTTGCCTTTCCATCTTTTGTCTCTTGTTTCAGCGAATGATACCCCATTTCACAGCGTATGTTACGCTCATCATCTCGAATTTCGAACAATGGAAGTGCCGCTGCGCCACCATTGGGATAGGCGTATCGGGCTGGATTGACAGATGTACATACCGCGACAATGTTTTGCGCTATCGTGTGTTGTCGTCTCGTGGGAATTCCTGTGTTTTTTTGTTTTCTGTGTTTTTGTTTTTGTATTTTGGTGGATGCAGATTTAGACGATATTAGAGGGGATGAGGAGATGTTTTATCTATCTGAATTTTTTTAGAGAGAAAAAGAAGTTTTTAGAGAAGTTTACATTTTATTTTCATTCAAGATGAAGATACGAGGATATAGGTACAATACTATTAGAATGTATGGATCCTTGAGTAAATGCTCAACTAAATACTTCTTTTGATTCACATTTGCAATGAATGGTTTGTGAATTATTCCTCTTCATTTCACTTTACTTCACTTGACCTTACCGAAGCGGACTGGATAGCATCATGACCAAGTCGTTCTCTCCAGACTTGAGTTACTGCCCTACTGTCCAACATTATCAAGTGCAGCGAGAGAGATGTTCAATGTGAATATTGAGTACGCTCATCTCTCACATATACAGACAGCTTTGACAGTCGAAGAATGTACAACCAAGGCCACAGCAACCCGGGATATCTACGAAGAAGTGTTTTCATATTATTGGATTGTCACGGTATCATGTTGTTGAAAGTATTAACCATACTATGCATACGTATACGCATACGCCTGCATAATCACCCATCCAAGTATAATGCATCCGCCGCACCACCGATATCCTTCCCAAAAGCTACCTAGCAAGAGGGAGTAAAACTATAGGTACAACGCCAGCCAACCCAGTACGCTCTCACCGAACCGAACCGTAGCCGAACGCCATGCCGAATAGTTCATCACGTCATCCATCCCATGTTCCTACAGATAGCCGACCAAAAAGCCCACAAGTACAGACAAGAAGCAGAAGAAAGCAAAACATACAGATGTGGTATTTTGATCACAAAGAAAAGAGAAGGAGTGAAAAGAAAGAAAATCAAAAGTCGTTGCCATCGACTTGTCCAGTACGCCAGCCATTATGCTTGCTAAACAAAAAATGCAAAGAGACGTGAAAGAAATAGTTGATCAACAATCAATATCCATCGAAGCAGCCATATCTTCACTAACACCACGTATAGGTGCTTTGTAATTCCGATCATCGAATTCATCGTCAGCTTCATCATCATAGCCGTCGTAGTATTCCTCTTCAGGGTCTACTTGGTCGTCCTCATCCCACATGTTGACATCAGTATCATCGTCGCCATTTTGATCAATCATAAGATTATCGGCACGATCACCTAGCCAATATCTAGCCCGTTTGTTTGCACCGGCGTCGTTATACTCGGCTTCTCGGCCTGTAATGCCCTGGCCTTGACTTGGACTGTGGCTCATGACTGGAACAGCTCGAACATAGAAATACGCGACTCTCTTTTTCTCTTTGTTGAAGAAGAAGTAGTTGAGGCTCCAAATAGATCCCAATTCACCGTCAAACGGCTCATCAGGAGGAGCCCAAGAATAGACTGTACAGTCCTTGAGAGTCATCTCCTTATCAATCAAAGCCCACATCTGTGGACACCAGGCTTGACTTGTAGCACCGGCAGATGAAGTTGTCTTATATGATGTCTGCGATGGGACATGAAGCGTCATACCCGAACTTGGTCTAAGATTATAAAGTGTCGAATCAATGGTATTGATAACAGTCTTCAGACTTCGTTCTTTGTGGAAATCGGCAGGTCTAAGATTGTGCGAGAAGTCGTAGTCAGGATGACTTGCGTTAAGTGTTGCAATGAGATACGCGAAAGTTCGACGACTCGATACCTGGCTCAAGGGTCCAAAAGGACTTGAACGTGAGAGATTTACGCCGGCTTCGGTGGGATCAAGAGGAGGCGATACGGAGGCCGATAGTTTGAGTAGAGATTCATATTGAGATTCTAGTGAGTTCTCAATATTTTTGTAAAGTTTCTTGTCGGAGCCAGCAGCTTTGGTTGTATAGAGATCACAACCACCAATGACGTGGCAATCGGGTGTGTTGAAATTCAACGCACTGGTGATATTGTCGAAGTCGCGTAAAGGGAGGAACTTCATCTTTGCTGAGATGAGGATTGAAATTGATTTAGATAAGTTCTTATCGTGGATAGTGGTGAAGGATGATTGAAGAAGAGGCGGAACGACGACTCGCGCGCTTTGAAGAAAGTGAGAAGTATGTGGCTACGGAGCCCGAGTATTCTGTGGAGATAAACAACCTTTCGGATGATTCTTCAGACTCGTTGAACTGAAAACCAGGTACTTAAAACCTCATATAATGATTTTTGGTGATGGTGTGTTGTGTAGTATGAATGTGTTGTTAATGGTGTTGTTTAGAGTAGTGTTTAGGGGTGAAGTATGGACCAAACGTGTCGCTCTTTGTTCCGTTATCGGTGTGTTTGTAGGACCTGCGTGAACTAAGAAAGCAAGATTGATACTTCCTGCGCTGGCTGCGGAGGTGATATCAAGATGTTCTTTAGCTAGACTTTATGTCTAGCAGGTAATGGGCATTTTAAATGTGATAATGTACGAAGTATTGTTGAGATGCGTAGTAATGGGATAGACGGTGTGTGGTTGTTGATACCGAAGAAGAGTCGGGGGGGATGGGGTGAGCCGGATGATGAGTGTGGAGACACAAGTTGATAACCTTGATTGTGACCGTAACGATTGATAAGCTAGTCTCAATGTGTATTAGCTTGATGGATAAACGATGTCGCACAAAGTGGATCATGAAGTTTGATCTGGTCTGGGATTCTGGGGAGATCAATATCTTACCTCTGTACCTTTATTACCCAACAACCAATAAATGATTCTCGTGCGTGAAGAATAGACTGTTATCAATTCCGGAAGCTGGTTACAGATTCAACGGTTTCAAAGTATCGTGAATCAGGTTCGGGTGACGGTCAATTTGAGGGTCATCTTCTCAAATCTGCATTGAAGAATCAAGCACGTTTGCAGCCTTCACTTCGTAAAGGGGTTTTACCTGATGACATATAATATCACGTAATCAAGAATTGCCTCTCGGAGAACTCGGTCACATGTCGAGCATTCTTCAGGAATCTCGACTCTCTGCATGTTAGTAACAAACAGCATGGTCAATCTGTGAGACATGAATGGCTACATGAGTAGTATCATGGTGAGCATGGGTGACGACCTGGCTTACGAGCCAAGTAGTAGTGCAGCTCAAGTGCAATAGACAAGCTCGAGACAAGTCGAGAGGAAAAGCGGAATAATGCCAAGCAAGAGTCACTACAATTAACATTCAGAGGGGTCAAAACTTAAAGGTAATCCAATAACTCGGCGCATTTAATTCCACGCTCAACTTACACAAACGCCATTTCGTAGTTCATACCTAACTGATGATTCCTCCTGGGTATCTTACCATCCATTAAACACCCTAAGAAGAACGCCAGTACCATTCACATGAATTCCCAACTCCAGGTCGGCAGTTGTAAAAGGGGTATTAAGCCAGACCGATCTCCCGAAGTCCGCTTATCACCTCTTCTTGGGCCTAAAGAGAGGAACCATCACCTAGTTAGCAAACAAGCCCATCACTAAAATTCATGCACAACGCTTCAAATTGCTTGAAAGTGGTATATAATATTTTCGCGCCAGACTCCATCCACCCATATATTTCTGTAATACATGTGTAAAAACACTGATTCACATAAGCTTGGTAATTTCTTCGTCGACCTGGAATTGCGGAATTTCAATCAGCATGAAAGAAATTCGAGTTTGAATGATGTTGTCCCTCAAAAGGTTGTAAAATGGAAGAATGCCCAGAATAACCACTACGACCCAAATTGATGCTCACCACTCACCTCCGTATCTTCAATTGAGTCTTGCGCTGATATCACCCTAAGCACGTTCTTCTTACTACTCTCTTGCATTTCGCCCGCCAGTAATAACTCATCCAATATGAAATATGCTTTTTGAAAGTTAAAAATAATATCCTGATTCCATATTAGTATATATGCCACGTTCCATCTTGAGACGTAAGGTTTACCAGCTCGCAGACATTTCCGTAGTACTTGTCCATCTGCTCAACATAGCGGTGAACAATCTCCAGAGTAATGAGTTCGTTATCGGTCGAAGCACAACCTGCGATGAAGAAGAGAGAAGCGTATCGTCGATAAACTATCTTCGAATCTGCCATTGATGTAATCAGCATGAAGCTCTAGATATGGTTTTGTAGAACCACTCTGACCTTTGTACTCTAAGAAATTGCACATTCTCGTTCTACGAGCCAGCACAAGTTGGGAGACATCTTTAATGATTTTCGCCTTCTCTTTTGGCGATAATGTTGTAAACCATTTTGCGAGTCTCTGTGGACAGTTAGAGTATGTTTCGAGCTGCTTCTCATCCAGAGAAAGGAGAAGTACATACAACTTTGCCCTGCCGCGATAACAAGATGAGATAGCTGCGTGATGTTAGCTTAATTCAAGTATCTTCATATCATCTTTTCAAACATTTACTTACTGAATGGCCATGATTATAATTGTTTTTCGAGAAGATTGATATCTCAGCCTTGAGGGTGTCGTGTCTGGGCAAAAGGAGGAGCCTTGTTAATTGTTTGCAGGGGTGCAAGCAAAGTTCGGGGAATCTCCGCGCTTGCAACGGCTTACAAAGAATGATGGAGGGGCAGATAAGTAAAGGATTAGTGAGCAAGTACCGACAAACACTTGTGACAGTATTGATAGAATAATATAATTTTTCCCTTTTATCCTTTATTATCTTGTACATTTCTCTTCGGTCCTATTCACTCTTTTCCCTAAACCCTTAGATTTCTTTTCGTTATATTATAATATATTATATTCCGTGCGATTAGAATTGTATTATATCTGTGTTCTTCTCAATCAATCCAGAGGAATTCGCATCCCACTTTCCCATCAAATTCGATATAATCAATCATGACTAGATTAATACTTTCCACGTCGTACGTTTTTCCCAACTCATCTCTCAAAAAAGCAATTGACTGACTGAGTCTTTAGAAATATTATGGTCGGAGGTCCTTCCATTATTAGAAAACCCGGCGCGGACCGGTCAAATCTTGAACTCACAAATTCCCTCCGGAGCAATTTTCTAGCTGCGCAGCAAGACTATTCACCCACACCTTCATATGCGAATGGAGTCAATGGACACGATGAATCAGATGAAGAGAATAGATCACCGAGTCGTCCGCCAGTTTCCATTTGGACAACTAGACAAGACAATGACTTTTATATCCCCACCATAGACTGGTCTCTATCTGGGCTTGCAGAAGAGCCCGAGAATTACGAAATTACTGTTAAACTGTTTTATATGGCCAATACGGATGTGAAGTCGAGGTCAAAACATACAAAAGATGCTCTAAATTTGGTAATGAAAGAATTGGGTGTCGAGTCAATTGATCTCCTAATCGTTTCATTTCCTGGAATGTCCTTTGACGGCGACTGCGAATGGGAAGCAGACAAGAAGAACTCGGAACAAGGAAATGAAGCCGAAGAACTTGGGACCTGGCCTATATTGGAAGAACTATTTGAGCAAGGAATTGTAAAGAAATTAGGATTGGCCGAATTTGGCACAGCGAAACTTGCTAAGTTTCTTGGGAACGTCAGAGTACGACCACAAGTCGATCAGATAAATGTGAAAGATTGTTGCAGAGTTCCACAGCCTTTGCTCAAGATCGCCAAACAAGAGAACATCGAACTTTATACTCACAATGATTGCACCGATATATTGCCTAGTGGAACATTGCGGGAGCTTTTGGGACAAGGAGTTAGAGGCGCTGGTGTGCTGTCAGAATCTAAGAGGGGAATTGATGGTATGAAAGGTGACTTGAAGCCGGAATGGGTGGTCAAATATACCGCAATTGTCCGTGATCGTGGCGTGATAGAAAATAAGGGATATTTCGCTTCGGCAGAATTGAGAGAGTGAACATCAAAAGTACAATGGGGGGTTTGAATTTTGGCGCAATGGCGAATTGCGGGTTTCTGCTCCAATAGCGTGTTGGAAATAACGGGAACAACTTGGAATAACAAGATTACCTGGTGGAAAAATTGTAGTGTTTGGATAGCTGATGGATACGAAGACAAGTACATGGACAGAGATCAAGAAATTCTAATACAAACATTGGATATATTATGGAATCAAAAGTCGATTGTAAATTTTCAACCCAACATACTCCTTTTTCTCCCTCTCATTCTCACATCCTCTAACTTCTTCAAAACCACCTGTGCCCCTTTATAACTTGTTCCATACGCATTCAAGACCTCTCTGAACAACCCCTCGGCCCTTGGATGAGTACTTCCAAATGCTCTCTCTAACACATATAAGTCGACCGCACGATCCTCATCTGCTGTAGTCTGGCTCGCCAATCCAAAATCAATTATAACGATCTCCCCTTCTAATTCCTTCCCGTTGTTTGTCTCCTCTCCTTCAACTTGTATTGGGCGCAACATCAAATTACTCGTCGTCAGATCTCCATGCACAACCCCGACCCCATGCATCCTTCCCACGGCCCGTCCAATCCTCCTCATAAGGTCCACCGCATCTTCAGTCCCCTCTTCCTCCCCAGTAACCTCCTTATTCCCTTCCTTCTGCTTCCTCCGTTCCAGCCACTCATTCAATCTAATCCTCACCACCTCCCCCTCAATCCACTCGACCATTATACATCCCCTTCCCTCATCCACCGCATATACAGCCGGCACAACCACGCCCTCCCTCCTACACTTGACCAACACCCTCGCTTCTGCCAATATCCTCGCTTTCGTCAGTCGCTGATCCAGAATCGGATGTCGATATGGTTTCGACGGGCGCCATTTTAGTGCGCAGGGCAGAGACGGCAGTAAGTATGTGGATTTGTAGAGGAGCGCTTCGGCACCTTGGGTGATGAGCGAGGGTGGGGTGGAAGAGGGGTATGTGAAGAGGTGGGAGAGAGACGGAGGCGGGGAGATTTCTGGTTTGGAAGTTTCCATGGTTGACGACGGTATGGTTTGTCTTTTTTATGATATTGAAATGGACTCGACTGGACCGAAGTGAAGTGAAGTGAAGTAAAGTAATCCGTGCCGATCTTGAAACTTTCCTATCAAAGTCGCAGAAGAATTGTCGTTGTGTATTAGTGGATTTGACTCAGAGATGTGGATTTTTCTCTACTGCAGGTCATGGTGCTTTACATGAATTTACTGTATGTACCTACCCCACGCGTGGTGAATTCATGGTTCAATTGGCCAACAATGGGACGAAATGTTGACAAAACTCTCCACTTCTTGATTTGTGTTGCATTGTCACATTTTCCTTTTTCTTATCGCATATCAATCAGCAAAATCCAAATGAGTGATGAGTGAGTGATGAGTGATGAATGATGAATGATGATTGATGATTGACGACTGATCTTGATCAGATTACACACACCTTTGACCTTGGACCTTTCCTCCCAGTTCCCTCCAGTTCCCAACAGAACTCACTCACTCACTCACTTACTCACTTACTCACTTACTCACTTACATCGTCTCACACCACCACACAAGGATCCTTACCTAGGTTCTCTCCGTTAAGGTTAACTTGCAAAAATTCAAAGGCCGCATGTGATGATTCTGCAAGTACAAGGGTTCATTCTCCCACCATCCATTGGTTTTTGAATCGTTTTGATCTATTGGTTTCCATACATGTGCGGAAGTGAGTAAGTGGTACGGAGCGAAAAATACTACCTAGGCAAGGTACGCAGGACCAAGTATTCCTCTTTTCTTTTTGCCTCTCTTGATTATCCTAGATATCCGGCTAAGGGAGAGGTTACTTCATGATTCACCCATCTCACATCTATTCATCTCATTTCTGTTACCTCACCATCCTTCTTCTTCATCTCAACCTCTCTATCAATCTAGATCGAATGCGACAATACTTCTCTCAAAATTTGAATATGTGCACAACTCACTCTACCACCTTATTACCATCATCATCAGCCACCCCAGCAAAATGTCCCTCAACCCATTAATCCAATCCCTCCCACCAATGTCCCCCCTCCAATCTAGTCTGCCCACTTCCCTTCTCCTCACCTGCGCCGCGACCGCTGTTTCCCTTCCTCTTCTTGTCCAAACCCTCCTCACCCACCTTTCAGCCTACAATACCGCACCTCAAGACTTAACCACCTATCTCTCTGTGCTCGAATCCAGTGTTCAAGAAAACGCCTCTTATGATCATGATATCAGCAGAATCTCCAAACTCGAAGATAAACTTCGATTAGCGGGCATGGTACGCGAAATCCAAAGATGCGGCGATGATTTAAGAGAGCTTTTGAATAAGATGGTTAGTAAAGAAGATCACAAGAGGTTAAAACTCGGATCTCGGATATTATGGGGAACGACCCGTCGGGATCTCGAAGAGCGAGTGCGTAAATTGGATCTATTGCGCATGCGTTTCCTCGTCGTGTATCTGGGAATGGTGGCTGCGAAAACGGAAGTTGTATTGAAGGAGAAAGAAAAGGAAAAAGAGAGAGAAAAGGAAGATGCAGATAAAACCTTCGGCTCTCCTATTCGGAGTAGGACGCTTCCGAGTAATTTGAGCGAGAATCTCAAACGTACACCGCCGCTAAGGAGAATCACGAGCAATGCTATAGGGCATAATGAAGGCACCGGAAGTCCACAGAGGAGTGGATGGTTGGGAGTTGTGAGTGAGTTACAGAGTAGTCCATTGATGCATAAGAGAAGGGCATCAGTGGAACAAAGTTCTTCGATCGGAAGTCCGAGAAGTGAAAAGTTTGCTCATTTTCCTTAAGGGGACTGGCTCGGGTTCTCAAGAATGACTGATTCAGTTATCTCAAAAGAGAATCGCTGGATGTTTCACTTGGAATTCATTATTGATTGGGAAGACGGAGGAAGCCAGAGGCTTTGAGTATCGTTGCACATACATGATACATTACGAATCTAAATCGCTACACCAATGCCCTTGCGAGGGACAGTATGATTCGGGACACGACTTTGGACAATGCTTTTATGACGAAGTTTTACGAAATATACGGTAGATACAGTACTACGACTTCACGAAAATGACACGAAATGGAATGAAACGACAAACAGACGCAATCAGAAACAGAAAAAAGAAAACAGTGCAGAAAATAAGAATTTGCCTTCATTATGAAGACAATGAACGCATGCATCATCATGAACTTGAAGCAGCATTTAACGAAATCTACGAATGTTGGGGAGAGAAATGGAAATGAGAGAAGATGTGGTAGAAATGGGGCTTGATGATGGGAAGGTTGGGAAGGCGAGGAATTGGGATGGGATGGGACGGTACGAACAGAATACTGTTTATTCTTCAGGATATACCCCTTTTTATGGATGCAGGTGGTCGGCGCATTTCATTTTTGTTTTGCTTTGCTTTGGAAATATTATGATGTGATATGATATGAAAGGGTAGTTGGCTTCAGGAATTAGATTCAAGGTCTTGAATATTGGATATCGAGATTGGATGGAAGATAGAAGGGAGGCAGGATGATTGGATTTCTCAGGAG